GGGATCCAAGCAGTCGAATCCCAAGTCTACTGCTAACGGAAGCCGCGCAAGTTGTTGGCTGCGGTCTACCCTTATTCTCACGTGCTTTTACTACGGTCCAGCTTCAAGCGGTTGCAACGAAAGCTGGGTGGTGTGCGTCAAGATTTTGTTCGTTGCCTGGACTCTGTACATCATTGCTTGCGCAGGAACGGTCGGACCTGTATCTGTCTAGTGGTCGTGCATATTCTCAAGCAGAAGCGTTGGGGCCGGACTCTACGCCGTCGTCAGAATGATCGAGATAATGATTGCCGGAGTTGAGTTAGAAAACAGAATTCATCCCGGCTCCTCTACAGGAGCCCTACTTGCAGGTTGGTTGTAACTGCGAAACTCTGCAGACATGTTCTGGCCCCTTACCGCTTCCTGTCCTTGATGTGAGGTTGACAAGAGCGTTTGCCGTGGTGCAGTTCCTCTCTCTGTGGCGGCCTTCACCCTGCCGCTGCCGCTGCTGGGCACCCCGTGCGCCCTGCCCCCCAGCTTTGTGAGTGGCACCTTCATCCTGTTGGCCGGCCTCATCATGTACGTGCTCTCGGGGAAGCAACAGCCCACGCAGGTGCCCCGCCCCACGCTCTCCCTCCAGCCCCACTTCGAGCGTGCAGTGGCCACGTCCACTCGCCAAGGCCTCACTCCCCGCGTGCGGGTTCTCTCAAAAAGGTGGGCTCACGGCCCCTAGCATGCGGAGCACCGAGTCGTTCCGATGTGATGGGTCCATAAACCTGAGATGTCGACGAAAATAATGGTGATAACACGGGCCTTTTGTAACAACCAGGACCAGGAGTATCAGCTCGTTCGGAAGGCGGTTTGCTGTCTAGGCCTAGTGTCCCTGAAGTAACAGAAAGGAACCAGATGTCATACACATAGACTGAATACATAGAAGCTCAGAATAACTTGCACGCTGTACATTGCTAGCAAACTTCCGTACGTTTTGAATACAATCGCTTCAGAAAACACATCCCTCTCACCTTTGGTCATTGCTTGCCATTGGGTTTGGTCGTGTTCCAGTGCCCAAAAGAGACATTACGTCGTTGGGTTTTTAAAATAGCCTACACTTGAACGTCAATTTGTGCGGTGTGGTGTGGTGAATGTCGAATGTGCTCAAAGCGGGCCCGCCTTGTTTAGAATAGGCATCAATGCTCTGCAAATGTCATCAATGTGGTTCGAGCAGCACTGAGAATGACGACTCCCGAGTCCTGAATGCTCAAAGCTTCTGTGGCTTGAAGGCTTCAAGCCACAACTGCAAATTCTGTAATCCGGCCGATGAAGAAGCAGACCGTCTCTACTTTGGCAAGGCTATATCTCTTATATCGAATGTCTTGGTGATCAATGTTGGTGTCTGTCATGTCATGTAAAAGTGTGGATTGAGTTTTCCCGCCGGTCCGCATATGAAGGCCGAGCAAGACAGGGTGAGGATCGAAGCATGCACGTGCGGTGCGCTAGAGTACTAGGTTGACTTATGTCTAGAGAACACAATATTCGTAGCAGGCTAGGCGCTTACGACGTTTTGCTTGCTCCTCTTCGATTGTGCAAAACGTGTTCTCTTCTGCCTGGCATGCTCGCATGCTGCACGGTGGTTTGCGGTCAATGCGGAGTGCGTGGCTGGCCCACATAATGTGCCATGCAAGCGCGAAACAGATTTCAAGAATTGTCGATGGACGTAGGCCGGTCATGATCATTGGGCTATATACAAGTCGCCTTGAGTGTATATGTACGCACAGTATACTAATTTAAGCTTCTCATGCAATGCTGCTGGTAGACTTGTCTCGAACATGCATGCAATAATATACTATTATATACTATATACTATCTATACTATATACTATTATATTGTACTCACATGCATTCGAGCATGCATGAGTCACTAGCGGGGTAACATTGCGGATCATACCGAACCGTCGTGGTTCAGGCCGGCCGCCCCGGATCCACCGATGATGTTCTCCTTCAAATGTTTAACACCCATCTATGAGCACAAATGCGCTCCTCTTCTTTCCAGAAAGGAGACGGTTCACTAAACGATCTGCCGAATCTACGCCACTGATGTGAATTCTTGCAACCAAAGAGCTCTTTTTGCAGACTTTGAGCCTGAAGTGATCCAGAATCTTGAGGTAACTCTATGTACACTGGCAACGGTGGACGACCTGTCAACATCGTCCACTAGCTTGATTTCGGCAATGAATTCATGAAGGCAGTATATGAGCTTTCTAAATCGAACAAAAGTTGTCGGGCTTGGCCCTCATTGAGCTCGTCACTAGCACTCATTTTGGCTAGCCGGGATATCCAATCTTTACCCTTGACCTTTCCTTCGAAATCAGGTGGCAGCTGCGGGACACGGTTCATGCTGGAAACAAGGTCGCTGAGCAGCGGGTACACCTGGAAGAAAACAAACTGGAAAGTGTTGGGTTGCGAAAGGACCACTCTCAAGAAAGGACAACACAAGCAGGCCAAACAAGGACCCTGACCCAGTTGGCAGGTCTTCCCGCTGCTCTCATGAGGCTGTGCCGCCGACAGGGAGCCTGCGCGGGGAGCGCCCGGGGGGAGCGCCTGCCCCGTTGGTCTTTGCGGGCCATGTGCACCGACCTGGTCCACTGCCACCATGCTCAGCTTGAGGCTGTCCATTGCCGTGATGAAGTGCTGCACCGTCTCCGCGACGGCCATGGCGCTGCTGGGGCCCTCGCCAGGAACAGGCCGCCCATGCTCCACAGTGGCAGGGAGCCCCGACTGCAGCAGCCGGTTCACGGCAGCGGGGCACTCCAGCTTGTAGGCTGCAAGGGAGGGGCCACAACAGCATCAGGCAAGGAGGGGCAATCTCACAGCGTACAACTCAATCCTCTGAGAGGAGCCACAGCTGAGAGTTGCGTGCCCGTTTAAGTTGACACGGGGCCACTTGCTCCCTCTGACTCTGACCAGCGGCTGTACTAGCTGCCCCAGAGATGCGAGCACCACTCGCTATGCACAGCAGCCAGCCCACTCCACAACCAGGCCTTCTCTTCCGACGTACGTGCACCGCGTAGCCGCCCCTCACCTGACATGAACCTCTCCACATCTGGCACGGAGTCCTTCAATGTCGTCCGCAACGTCCGGAACTGCGCAATCAGCTTCAAACAGGCTGGCTCGTATTCCTTGGCGCTGATGACGTCCCGGACATAAGCTTTCTCTAGCTTCTCTGTTGTTTTGATGATGGCATAGAGATCTGCAAAGTTTTCGTACATCTCCCGTTCCGCTTTGTCGTTCCATAGCTTCAACTCGGTCCCTGTCATGCTGGTTCTCGTGCTCAGGACCCAAACTCTTCAACACACTGCCCTAAAGCTTAGCTAGAGGCAGCGCTGGGGGGACATGGGGCGTCCTCAACTCCTGGACCATCTGATTCTCAGACTCTGCTGTTGACGATTTGCCATGCAGGCCAAGTTCAAGCCTTCAAGGTTTCGGGGTCTAGCCAGGCATTCCCTCCTGAACCGGCTGCATCCAGCCGCGGCCGGGCCAGGCCCGCGGCTGGAACGGACGCCGCGGGGCGGCGCGCTGCGGGGGGCCGCGCAAGCATTTGGCAAATTCTTGAATTGCAGGCCAGCCACCCACTAATATGTGCGTCAAATTGGGAAGGGCCTAGCCGCACACATTGTGGCTTATGGCAGAATAGTCTGCACGGTTCTCTGTCACGATGCCCCTTTCGATGGGGCTCAAAGTTTCCATGTCCCGGGAACGAAGTCAGCCAGTTGCAGCCAGCTTGGTTCTTAACTTATACGCGGCTCAAACACATATACCGTACTACCGTACTACCAAGGTATGAT